TAGTCGACAGTGATTTTCTAAATTAGACAGGCCGAAATGATTGCTTGACTCAGTTAACTGAATCTCCTTAATATTACGCCTAAACAGCATATTTACATCAGCACTTATCGATTTCACGGAAGGAGATGGCGGCTAATTGCGACTTATTTTGCCTATTAGAGTTATGACGTTTGATTTTATGGGCATTGCGATGTTTTTAGAAAGAAACTGAAATTCCGTTCACTTCCAAGTGAAAATTCCATTCTTGAATGGTCCAAAGTTAAAAATTCGACAGGAAGAGAAAGTTAGCATAAACTGTAAACAACGTAAACTATTATACTTGTGGTTGACACTTCGGGGATGCAATTACACAGAAAATGAGTTTTATAAATTCAGACAAAGATGAGTATTTAGTATAATGCGTGGTAGTAATACGTGGAAATTGACTCCTTGCAAGACCCGTGTAAAATAACATCGACAATTCGTTGCAGATTGGTTTTCTATCCAACCCAGTCACTCTGGTTCTAGGCAAGCATTTGATAGACCAGTGAAAGCGATGTGACTATTTTTCTAACGATAATAGCCGCAAAACCTGAAGTGATGTTTTGAAATAGTAAATTAAACAGAATTGCTGTTTTTGATGGCGAATCTCATTATCTTGCATGTCTTCTTTTGCATCGGTGCCATCTCAAAAACGAACCATCAACTTGAGGAGTAGATGCAAAAGGATGGTTTAGATATTTTACCCACCCCAAATCAATATTTCGCCCCTGTCCTCTTCCCGCCGCCTTCCTTGGGGTGGGACTGTTACTAATGCCACTGGAGTAACTTTACAGTGATGTCTTGTTCCAGCCACACAGCAAAGTTTTCAACCAGTGAATTGTTTTGTAAATTAAAAATGGCATAATTAGGTATATAAGCATGAATCGTGAATATAACATGTTCCTGGTTGCTGATAGGGTCCAGGGACAGTGCGACAGGAACTGCATCTAAAGTTTGTAAACTTTATTTGAATGGCTACGCAGAGAAGGTGGATAGAGGTTGAGGGACACAAAAAAAATTAATAAAAAATGGTCTTTGCTGGCGTAGAAGAACTGCGGCGCTAAAGAAGACAAGATTATTTGGGCAGGGGTCCAAGCATCTTAAAACGATAATATTAAAGGTTTTAATTATAGAAAAGAATGAAAACGATACTGACAGACACTCCTATATAAAACTCCAATAACAAAATCGACATTTTTCATTAGACATACATATATGTGGTCATACAGACTGCTATAAAATAATATTCATTTACATAAATGTTGAATGGTAGTATAGGATAATAAAATAATATTCATTTACATAAATGTTGAAGGGTAGTATAGGAGACTATCAAGTTATTTAAAATAGGGGAGATCAGCCAAGAGACCTATTCGGACGGGCTTGCCGGGCTGTATTTGCACTCTGCTTGACATCGGAGTGTCGCAGTTTGTCAGCTGCTGACACAAGATGTGCAGCATTATCAAAGCTAACAGAATGGAGAATCGCAAGGCCAAAGGCTTCTACCAGGAGTGCCTCCAAGAAAGAAAAGAGTGTTGACACTCCTTGACCGCCAAATTCAGCAGTTACCATAAGAGGGAGTCTATCGCATAAACAAGAAAAACTTGAGCCCGCTAAAACTAAAACTGGATCACCCGAGATGGCATAACAACTTGGGCATATAGTCACTTCCTCGGCGAGCTCTTTAATTTCGTCCAGCGATGTGATGGATAAAGACACCGGATGATGGTAGCTGAATATTGAGAATCGGCAGTTTCTAGCGGACAAAGAATCTGCGCGGAGAGCCAAGGACAGCAAGATAATATACCGATTTCTGGCCTATGATGTTACAACTATCAGCCAGGAAGAACACTTTGAGTAACAACAAAAATTCGTGGATGCGTTGCACTCATTCCAGCTCTCCAAGTACTAATAAATACCAAACTCAATTGTTTGAGTCCAGAAGTTTATTAGCTTCAGCCGCATCCAACACAGTTGGCGTGACAATCTCGTCTGTTTCACAATGCACCGAACGTTCTCTTGCCTGTAAGCATAAAACACAAAACTTTCAAAACTTCGTCAATTTTTCTATCATCAACAACGATGACACAATCATCACCCCAAATGATAGATTCTACTTTATTTACGATATCGTACGAGCCGATATTAAAATCAGCGTCGCCCCCATTAACGTTTCATACGAAAGTATGTTTTCAGCTTCGCCTTTATGCTCCTTACCTGAAAAACTCTCCAGTGTGAGAACCTGAACGTCAGCGCATAACTAAAGCGACTTTTAACCACTCTGGTTATCTTTGGCCTGCTCTTGGAAAGCAATGAGAACACACATAACTTAAACATGCTTAAGAGCAAGGAATGGGAGAGCAGCCAAACACGATAGAGTGGGAGCTAGGCTACTTTGCGAATGATTATACTTCCAATAAAGGATTATTAGGAAAGCTCGGACAATTAGTGTACGACACTAATGACAATTAGTGTATGCCAATTCGTGCATGACACTAGTGACAATTAGTGTATGACACTAATGACAAATAGTGTATAACAATCAGTGTATAACATTAATATAGAATCTGAACCACCGTACGCGTACGTGAAGCTGCTTACAGTTATGTTATTGGAGTGAAATGACGATGCAGGCAAAACAGATAGACATTGTGTACTGGAGCTACCTAAAACAACCCTATAAATCATCCAGCGAAAAACTTTGAGTAGATATATGGGACATTTTGAGGTTGGACGGGAATTTACATCAGATGGGAAAGCGACAAGGTGTGGCCGGGTGTGGAGATGCTGGTTTAAAAGCCTTATTTGGGGGTGGGTAAAATTCTAAACTTAGTCTATGATATCTATTTGGTGACGTAATTGTACGTAGTCCATTTAATACATTTCCTCTCATTCGCTAATTCATTCAGGGTTTACTTTTTGCATATGTTTCTTATCGAACCTTTCCTTTTATTGATTGATTGCCTGACTTACTGATTGATTGATTGATCGATTCGATTTATCTGTTTGTTCTAATGCCAGATTGTTTATAACTGTTGTTCATAAAAGAAACGAAACAAAATTTAAACAGAAATAAAAGAGGAAAAGAAAACAATTTTCCACTTGAATAACTTTTTGTATCCCCTGCCCAACTCTCAATTGCTAACAACTCTCGTTGAATTCATTATGATTAGTAATTGAAAATATACTATTCGATGTTCCAAACAGTATGATTAGCAATAGAAAATATATTAATCGATGACCCCAAATCATTTTTTTAACGGTCTCAAAAGTGAACTACCTGAACTCAATAATAAGCTCATCATGGTAAAGGCGACTAAAATGTCCAAAAGCTATTTACTTTATATCATTAGAATAACAACAGAGTTAACAATGAAACTGATAATTTCCTATTATTCCATGGAACTTACAATTTCCTATTATTTTTATTCGCGAATAATTGATAAATTTGCGCAAAATGTGCATGTATAGGCCATGTCAAGTTAACACTTTTCTTTGTCGCAAATTTGCATTTGCATAATTCTTGTCGAGTCCTTAAATTTGCATTTACGTAAATGGATGTATAGATAAAAATGTTTAGAAGGAACTCAGTGACTGTGCTGTCAGAGAAATTGTAAGGTTTTTTTATCACCTACATTTGTTGTAATTTACGACTTTATACGTAATTAAAGTGAATAAGGATATACCGCCGTCTGTATTTTAAAAGATTTTACGCCAATGTCATTGAACTATATGTTACGTCAAAAGCATGTCAGACTGTCTTTTACAAATGTTACGTTACACACATATCATACTGTCCTTTACCTGGTACTTTGCACGCGTGCCATACTGTCATTTATCTATGTTACGTTACACATGTTATACTCTCATTCACATATTTTACGTGCAGCATTATGCATGACTCATCTTTAAAAGGTGAACTTACCATTGATAAGAAATTTAAAATTTAAATTAGTATTAACTAAACAAACTTTTAAACCTTAAATATGAACGATAATATTTGATTTTATGTAATTATCATAATACTGATAAAAGTCATTACAGTCCTCTTTATCAAAAATGGCGAAGAAACAAATGAGGAAAACGAAGCGAACTTGGTTTCATTTGATTTTTCCAAACAGATTGGAATGTTGGGTAAAATGCTGGCAGGTCTATAATTACATTTATCAAGAAATCAGAACTACTTGAATTTCCTTCAGACAATCAAGAACATATTAAATGGTATAAGCTTCATAATTAGATCTGAACCACAGTTTAATAGGTTATTATTCTCTCCTGTAGCTTTTTTCAATCCAAAGGTATTATCATTATATGCTCCTCGTCATGGTTAACTTGCTAAAATAAAAAACATAAACAATTATGTCCAAGTTACTATTGTTCTTAATAGCCTTGATTCTCTGATGGGTTAAAGGGTTTAGATATGAACTAAATTAACAAAGTAACTACCTGGACACATATAAAACACCAAAATAAGTAAGCTGGGAGTGCTTCTAAATCGTTCAAAGAAACTCGTCTTTTTGATGATGAGCCTTGCTATCTCATAAACTATTTCCTATATGCTTTCAGTTTGTGACCCCATTTAGCACAAAACGTCTTAAATCAGTGCATATATAATTCGAATCTTCACATAGCGATGTTATACCTTGACTAGATGATCTCTCTCTCTCTCTCTCTCTCTCTCTCTCTCTCTCTCTCTCTCTCTCTCTCTCTCTCTCTCTCTCTCTCTCTCTCTCTCTCTCTCTCTCTCTCTCTCTCTCTCTCTCTCTAATAAGGGAGTACAGATCACCCACACCAAGCTAGTGCCGTCATTTAAAAAAATATGGGAACATACACAAACAAGATGGACATTAAACGGTGTTTGATCCTGATGAGGTCGTATGTTGCTATAGTAATAAAGTGAGACAGAGTTCCAAAATAGTTAGATTGGTGTCGTGGTTTAGTAAAATTACTATCTTTCATGTTAAGGATAACGATCATAAGTACCCTAAGTGGTCAAAGCGTCCGCCTCAGATGCGGGAGGTCGCTGGTTTGAACACCGGTCGAGTCACATCAAAGACTTATAAAAATGGTACAAAAAGCTGCCTTGCTTAGCGCTCAACATTAAGAGTTTTTTGTTTGAACTGGTCGGCCTGGTGTCCGAATAACGTGGCTGGGTGTGACATCATCCTACATATCTTCGGCTAAACATCACTACACGCGGCAACATTGCAAACATCAAAGCTGTATGACTGAAAAATTGTTAAACCTACGTTAGCAATCCAAATCACACATACATACATACATACATACATACATACATACATACATACATACATACATACATACATACATACATACATACATACATACATACATACATACATACATACATACATACATACATACATACATACATACATACATACATACATACATACATACATACATACATACACACACTATCTATCTATCTATCTATCTATCTATCTATCTATCTATCTATCTATCTATCTATCTATCTATCTATCTATCTATCTATCTATCTATCTATCTATCTATCTATCTATCTATCTATCTATCTATCTATCTATCTATGCATGGAAGAAGAAAAGAAACGTAACCGTTTGGAATGTTATAAAACATTTTTCTTTAAATTTGATCCGTCGCGATGAACGGTAATTCAAAAGAAGAAAGAAAACAAAATAATATATATTATATATATATATATATATATATATATATATATATATATATATATATATATATATATATATATATATATATATATAATTTTGTTTTCTTTCTTCTTTTGAATTACCGTTCAGCGCGACGGATGAAATTTAAAGAAAAGTGTTTTATAACATTCCAAACGGTTACATTTCTTTTCTTCTTCCTTGCAATACATTCTACTACAGTAAATAGATATCAACAACAGACCCTGTACGAGGTGGACATTTTGGATCCAACAAAAACTTACATATAATTGATATAAATATAATACTTTACTTTTGAAGTTCATATCTTTGAAAACATTTTTCTCTCTTCTCGAAATATAATAAGTTTACAGAACAAAGTTAATCTTTCATTTAAGAAGTACCATCACAATGCAATGGAGCAAGTCCCTCACGACACAATGGTACAAGTACCTCACGACACAATGGTACAAGTACCTCACAAAACAATGGTACAAGTACCTTATGACACAATGGTACCAGTACCTAACAAAACAATGGTTCAAGTACCTCACAAAACAATGGTACAAGTACCTCACAAACAATGGTACAAGTACCTCATGACACAATGGTACAAGAATCTCACAAAACAATGGTACAAGTACCTCACGACACAATTTTTCAAATACCTCACGACACAATGGTACAAGTACCTCATGACACATTTTTGTTTAATATCAAGCTTATACGTACACTAATCTAATGTAAAACAATTTTACTTTATTAATGTAAAGGTTATACAGTCTTCACAATTCAATGTCACGTACATGTTCTAATTTATTCATCTTGAAAAATTACTTCCTTGCAAAATGAAAACTATAATTACTCATGTACAAAACTAAATGACGGTCATTAATACAAAGAGTGCATGTTTTATCATGGTTTCCTAGCATGAATAATTTAACTCTGTGTGTGTGTGTGTGTGTGTGTGTGTGTGTGTGTGTGTGTGTGTGTGTGTGTGTGTGTGCACACTTTCGGTTAGTAGTCTGCATTCACAGTATCATCGCTCTTTGCTGAATTGAATTCGTTAGGCTGGTCCACTTTCTTCTAAATGAGTTTTGCGCCATGTTAACAGAGAAAAATCGTGTATGAAAGGAAACTGCTGACCGTGGAGTATAGATAATTTGAATCCGGGGATTATGTGCAATTTATGTCGCCAAGACATTTTAAAATTTAATATGTGTTCTCTAGTTCTCGAGTGACTTGAAAAATACTAAATAAAGTTCTGTTCTTGTCTGTTATAACAAGTTTAATATGAATTACAGCTGTGGTAAAATTTTCAAGTTTAATATGAATTGCAGCTGTGGTAAAATATTCAAGTTTAATATGAATTACAGCTGTGGTAAAAATTCAAGTTGCAAATATTTACTTTCACTCCTGGGATAATTATTCAAAGTAGCCAATGTTTACAATAAATACAATATATACATTTGACCACTAGAGTGATGTGCACAGTTCTTTATATGGTTAAGTCTGTTAATAATAATAATAATAATAATAATAATAATAATAATAATAATAATAATAATAATAATAATAATAATAATAATAATAATAATAATAATAATAATAATAATAATAAGAAGAAGAAGAAGAAGAAGAAGAAGAAGAAGAAGAAGAAGAAGAAGAAGAAGAAGAAGAAGAATTAAAAAATATGAAGATGATGCAAAGGAAAAATTGAAAGCATCATTGAGCATTTTCATAAAACACTTTTTTAGCGCGCGAAGCTTTAAAAATTCATCCAGGCAGCTAAGAAGATGAGATAAAAAATTTTGTCAGGGACGGGAGGACGGACAAACTGACGGGATGAGCCACTCACAATATTCCCCTCTTTACTGAGTGAAGTCTTAATAACAATAACATACTTCCTCCAAAATGAAGTTAAATGCTATTTTACAGGTTTACTATTGTCTAATACACATTATATATCATAATGTTAATTTTTCGCTAAATAACTCCGAAATGTGCAGTTTATATGTAGGTTTGGACACAGAGGAGAAAATTAAGATGATCTGAGCATATATCAATGTTTTACGCAAAACGATCCGAAAATATTTGTACACTTTCGGTAAAAAACCATATTTCTGGAAGTGATTTCATGTCGGGAAGTCCATCAAGTTGATTGTATGCGACTGCCGTGAACCCCTCCTCACCTTCCTTGTGGTGGTTTACTTGGTTTTGGCAATCGTTATCTAGAGGTGATCGCCGACGGTGTAATTTGCCCGAAACGTGTGAACATTAATACAAAATACGACTTATGGGTGAAATAAATATAAATCTGAGCACATATATATATATATATATATATATATATATATATATATATATATATATATATATATATATATAAATATATATATATATATATATATATATATATATATATATATATATATATATATATATATATATATATATATATATATATATATATATATATATATATATATATATATATATATATATATATAACAGAATAACAAGAGCTCCCATTACAAATAAGTACAATTTGAAAGATACACTTCTTTCTTTTTGGATCACCTTATTCAAAGAATTTCAAAATGCAAATAAAATTATACCTGTTACCCGATAGCATTAATTTATCATTAGATCAAGTGTAAGATCGAAAAACACTGCCTTATATCGATTCATAACTTGATGTCCTATCTCAGTGCAATGTCCACATTGACTGTCCCTTTTGACTTCCTTGTGTTGGTAAGACTGGGTCTTCTCCACTCTTTCCTTCCTTTTTCCAAATTCTCAATTTTCTTGTCTCTTTCGGATCTTTCAAAATATTGTAACCCCTTTAGGGGTTTGTAATACGTGAGACTTTCTGTTGCTATCTTACCTTGTAAAAAATACTGGGGAAATAGATGAATATCACCCTGGTCGTGTCAGATAAAATTCTATCAGATTCAAACATACCAAGGCTATCTACGTCTAACTAGTCATAACAGATCATACAAACCTAGTTTCCCAAATATTAATGGTCATTTAGCATCACACCGACACATTAGTTTCAGACTAGTCCCATTATGTAAGAGAATGAATAAATTCTTTACACTACGGTATTTAACAAATACACACCATAAAGTCGTTATCCTATGTGACCTCAGCAGATCAGAGAATTCACAAGGATTCTCGTAATATAAACATTCCACCAATTTCTCAATGTATATAAATAAAAATATCAATGTACGAATTCAGACAAATGACTCAATACAGTTATTCTACATACGTAATTTCCTATATAAAATAAAGTATGAAATTCTAGATACATAATTTCTTGGAATAGTCGAGACTATACCTTAAGCGAGCCGTCAATGTATATATCAAGAAAAATGTAAATGTGCCGACTAAGATAAACGAACTCAACACAGTTATACCATATCAAGAAAATTGATCTAGAAATTTAAAAAAATAAATCCATGGAATACAAGCACAAAAATCCAACAAGTCGTCATAATAATAACAACGAATTACATAAAAATTGATGCAAAATATCTTGTGATTTCAAACTTTTGTATCTGTCAATTTCCTCCAGACCATCGTCTCCCCTGGATGATTTACAAGAACTTTAATTATTACTCGGAGTCTTCATTATATTTCTTTATGTTCGTTTTCTCTTGTAGAAAGCGTTGACTAATTTGTAAGTATGCTATTAGCACATTTAAACTGATAGTTTTCATCCGAAACCACACCTCCTTCCACAGTGTGTTCAATCGGGATAAAATAAAATTCCTTCCTCACTAACTTCGAAACAATTCTGACAATCAAAGATTATCAAGTGATTCATGGTATCCTTTAGAAATGACAGTTTCCATACAGATCAGAATTTGACCTCAATCATGGTAAGTTTATACAAACGTAGCCCTTAATTAAATATCGAAAACTCATGAAAATGCCTTAACCAGTCCGTGCAATATGGCTATTTAAACGCGCACAGGTCTTCATAAATCTAATTAATCTTATACGTGTCTAACTAAATGTTTCCTACAGAGATCAACAACAAAACAGAGATCGACATAAAAAATTCTCCTTTGCAGTGATGATAATGGCTGATAGTGACGGCTCTAGCTATAAGATAGAATTGAATCGAGCAGCATTAGGATGTAAACAATATTAAAGGCTAATTATTTTTACATTACCTTCTGTGATTCTGTACACAATGTGAATAACAACATCATCATCATCAACAACAACAACAACAACAACAACAACAACAACAATAATAATAATAATAATAATAATAATAATAATAATAATAATAATAATAATAATAATAATAATAATAATAATAATAATAATAATAATAATAACCCGACAAACATGGGGT